CAGACGCGCATCAAGGAGGGAAGTCAAAGGACTCACTGGCGAGGTGTCCCGAGGCGCCGAGGTTTGTTTGCTAAGAACCGAGAGGGGGCGAGGGTGGTTAGTGTCCGCATGTTTCTTCCCGAATACTTTTTCCCTCCTTTCGTGTGCGGCGAGACTCCTCACTCTTTAACGGCGTCGGCGGGTTGGCGCAGTTAACGTCGTCTGCTTTACGTCTGCTAGTCAAAGCGATGGCTGGTTTACCTTTCCTGCGTCTGTCGGAGATTCACCGCTTTTTTACCGGCGAGTCACCGTTGCCTCGGAAAACAAGATGACAAGAGGAAGAGATTGACCTCTTAATCTAAAATTGAGGTCAGCAATCAAAGTATAACACGGCAAGGGTTCACAAGGGTCGCGCGGGCATATTCCATTCAGCACGCCAGCCGGTCGTGGGCAGACGGAGATTCACCGCTTTTTTACCGGCGAGAGTCACCGTTGCCTCGGAAAACAAGGAGATGATAAAAGGAAGAGATTGACCTCTTAATCTAAAACTGAGGTCAGCGATCAAAGTATAAGACGGGAAGGGTTCACAAGGGTCGCGCGGGCATATTCCATTCAGCACGCCAGTATGTCGTGGGCAGACGGTCGGCGAGTCGGAGTGCTTGCTAGGCCTATCTGCCGTGCTCGCTTGGTCGTTGTCGGTGGAATCGTGGCTGTTGGAGCTTTTCCCGGGTGTTTCTGGATCCAGCGTTCTTGTTCGTCGTGGTCTGTTTCAAGTACTTCTTACTTCTTTCTTGCTGCTTGAAGTCGGGACGCGTGAGAAGCGCACGTAGAAAAATAAACGTCCGCTAGTCGTCGCGACCGCGACGCTGTCGGCCATGCTGATTTGATCGTAAGTGCGTAAGACAGCCTCAGAGCTGTCGTAGGATTTCGTCGTAACCTGCGCATAACTTACGAAAATTTCGTTTCGTGAGTACGAATTTGTTCTCAAGTTTTGTCTTACACATATTTTTGGCGTAAGATGGCTTTGTGAACCCTCTGCACTTCCGAAAGTCGCGGGAAAGGTAAGACAGACGCAGACGACGTTGCGAGCAGACGACGTTGCAAAGGAGCAGACGACGCTCAGATAGGGGGTCGCGATCAGCCAATCAGGGCTCGGCGTTCTGACGTCACCACTACCCCCTGCGCAAGGAGCAGACGAACTTGCCCTCCGCATTTCCGCTTCAGTTCCAAGATGGCGGCGAATATTTCGGGTAGGTTCCGGTTTGCCTAAAAATAACGGCTCAGTTTGCTCGGTTCCGGTTAGGTTCGGCTTCAGGTCGATGCTTTGGAAAACGCACCTCTCGCTTTTTCCCGGGCACGATTGAGCACGAGTGGCATAATCCTTCGCACCCCTCTTCAAAAGGTCCAACAAGCGTAGCGTAGTTTCGGTTTGGCCACCTCGAACACTCAAGGCGACGCCGTGCGGTTGATGAAACTATGTTGTTCCCCCACACGCCCTCACGTGCACACAAAAAAAAAAAAAAAAAGAACAAAACAAAAAAAACTTATTAACAATTACATCCCTCGATTGATTTGTGAACGTCTAACTATGTTGAATGCCTCACGTGTACACAAGTTTCTACTGCTCACGTGTACACAAGTTTCAATGCACTAAAGCTGGATGTCACTGCTGTTGTACATTGATTTTCAAGTCAAAGGTAACAAACGCATGCGCTGCATTACTTATATTGCAGATTTATTTAAAGGGTGTGAATACAACACAAATGTGCCCCTGAAGCGCCACATCTCAGGCTATCAAGCAACACACCAAAAATGTCTCTGAGTATTCATTTGGACAACTGTTTTCCAGGTTTAGCGAGTGACTTGCTGCATAATCAGGCGTACAACTTTCCAAGAATATCATTTCGCCTTGTTCTTGTACCGCTCAAGCAATTCCAGCGGAGCATTAGGCCTAAAACAGACGGTATAATTTTCATCATCCATATCAGTCACCAGAACGGGTCCCAGCGGCTTTGGCAGATCACGTACATGAGGAATGGACTCGTTCAGTTCGTCGAGGTCGTAGCTAGTTGCCGACGCCTTTGGTCTGAGCTCGTAATTATTCGGAGACACGGCCTTCTTTCCACGAATAACGCAGCTGAGGATGTAGCGGGGATGCAGCATGAACCGTGCATGCTTGAAGACGCTTTGGGTTGCAATTTTTAAGTCTTCCGCGTCTTCTGAGTTGGCGAAGAAGTAGACAGCTTCACGTGCGCTCTTAATTTCCCCGCCATGCATCGTCCAAAGCTTTCTGTACTTCTCCGCAGTCGTCACAGAAAACCAAGCCACACAGCCGTCGAAAACCCCCATCGCAAGTCTTTTCAAATAGCAGACGACCCAACGACCCAACTTGTTGACTAGACATTAGAGGCAATACCTTTGTATTGGGGAGTGGCTTGCGCCACCTAGTGAATGTTCATATTTTTTTTCCCCCGCTCTCAGCGTTGCCGGACATCTAGCAACATCGCCTGAAGTAATGTTTTCTTCGGTTTATTTTGAAGACAACACTCTTTCTTAGGAGACATGCTAGAGAAGGCGGAGTGGCGGAGTCATAGAGCGCAGCAACTGCGGACTCTGCCAACTGCGGACGCTGCGGGCGTCGGCATCTGCGGAACGTTTGACGGCATTGTGGTCAGCTGATGCGCACGCGCGTCTGTCTCAACTGCACTCGTCGAATGCGTTAGAACGCGATAACGAAGTGCCGGACGCCGGCTTTCCACGATCTAAACGTTTTCGTTCGAAGTGTGCAGTGCGGACAAAGGCTACCTTTGTACCCGATACTTGCACCAGCAGCTTTGACACCGTTGTACATTAAGTATGAAAGGTGTTATAATCAAATACTTGGTATAATCATTCCAACCAGGGGTGCTAAACTCGTCGAACACAAAGTTTGGGCCGAAGTTCACGGAACGCACCGATGGGACGATCCCGACGATGACTAGGCGCTTTTTTCGGCGCGCTCCGCTAACTTTGGGCTCCAACTTTGTGTTCGACGAGTTTAGGGCCCCAGAGCTCGACGCTCTACCGTCTTCGCGAGCTCTCGGCTCCTCCTCTTCCTGTTTCTAGGCCCATTACTTTCTCAAGTTTTTTTACTAACAAGGCAACCCTGACAACTCTCGATTATCTGATGCCCTATGGCGCCAGAAACCTTAAATGGGCCCTATTCTACCACTGAAATGTTAAGTCACTTGCGACTTTTGAATAACATATCGGTTTTGTTTTTGAAACTTTGGCATCTGGTTCAGACCTCTAGAGCTACCTTTGGGCGGAAATGAGCATTCGATCGGCAACACAATTTATTTTTGCAATTTGAAATTTTTTTTTTCTGGGGGGGGGGGGGGGGGGGGGGGGGGGGGGGGGGACATTTTACATTGTACTTAAAGGGGTCATGAAACGCTTTTCCAACTTTTTCCTGTTTCGCTTTCCTCCTCAACTCATAAATCGCGCATTCCACCAAACAGTTAAAGAAGACGAAAAGGGGGAGTCCCCTCTTGCTCGCACTCTCGTTTGTGTAATCCCGGACACATCCATTCTCCCCCTAGAAGATTAGCCCGTCGCTCAAAATTCAGACAAAAGTCGCTTTCCCCACCCCGTTCATTCCGAAGCTGACAGTGCTGTTGAAGCTACGTGCTCGTTGGGCCAGCCACACTTGCCACGTGAGCGTGGCAAATGTGACTGCAGAGAATGAAGTCAGGTGATGAAAGGGAGGCGGCTGATTGGTCCGGCAAGCGCGTAGCTTCCACCACAATGTCAGCTTAGGGGTGAAGGGAATAAGTGAGGTCCGGTTGCGTGTGACGTCAGTTTGGACCCGATAACGCGCTTTTGGGACCGCGGTTGTATCACAGTGAAAAGGCAGAGAGGTTGCGAAGGGGAGGAGGTACGAAATAGTCCGCTGTTTTCAAATTTTCGCAAAGTCAGGCTTTTGACTTTCTACCTTTTTCTTTTGGTCCACTGAACGATGTGCTATTAGTAAAATCCCAATCTAAAATGATTTATCCCAACCCAAAAATCGTTTCATGGGCCCTTTAAAAGAACTACTTCAAGTAAGTTTAGAAAACTCGCACTTTACCTGAAGTACATTCTCCGAATATGTCCACGTACTTGGCATTTTTCTGCTAGTTTCCAAGGAAAGTACATCTGCCAACTTCAAGGTGTATTTCCCAAATTTTATTTTTTTAAAGTTCTATCATAAAATGATGATTCATAAACCTCTAACGAAAAATGGCATATCACAGGAAAATGTGCTTTGTCTTTCGAGATGCCATCTGGTCACTTGTAGGAGTGAAGTAATGGTGACTAAAGACCAATACAAATAACTGCCTTTTAAGTTGACTGTGTCAAATAGTTTGTCAGCAAGACCAAAACAACTACTCTGCAGCCACTTGACTTATCCAATATCTGTCACCATTTCCGAAAATAACTGATACCCCTTCCCCCCCCCCCCCCCCCCCCCCTCCTTCTTACCCCTGAAACAATGCATACCAGCTTGAAAAAAATGTACAGGGGAATGAAGGGGCATTATGAAAGATTGTGATAAAAAGTACTTATACTTTACTTGGAAAGTATGTTGTATTTATAGTACTTTACTTGAAGTACACGGCACTTGGTGTACTTAGTACTTTACTTGAAGTTGCGGGCAACCTAGGGATTCAAAGCGTTTGGCCCAGGTTACCCCTCCGACAATCGTCAGAGGTCACTTGCACCGCGAAGGGGCCAAGGGCGACTGGCCACGCAAACGGTGCTCCGCCGCTGATAAAGGGCCGTTGCAGAGCATGCGCGGGAACTTTTGGGACCGCGGCGCAGGTGATAACGGTCATTAAATGTTTACGTGTTGTTGAACCGGTGTGCCGTGTCAATCCCAGAGATGGGTAGCAGCAAGGGAAATCCCACAAAGTACATAACCTCTGATATACTTTGTACTTTACTTCAAGCACTTTCAGGATGTACTTTATCCAACATTGAATACACTCAAAACAGTGGAATCAACAAGTCAAACAGCAGTCGCTGCACAGCTGTTGTAGTTTTTTATGTGCCACAACATTACAACCGCCGTCAAAAGTTCTTGGCCCAGAGTGGCTAATTTTTCACGCAATGCTCGGAAAATGGCTGTCAAGGTGATAATAAACTCGACTTCCTCCTGTCAATGAATCGCACAAAGCAGTAGCTGCGATACCCTGCGAATGACAGACCGAGAAAATAGCACAGATACACAGAGTGAAGAGAGGCAAAAGGAAATGATGGTGAAGCAGGCTTTCAGGTCTGAAATGAAAAACATATTGAGAACTTCATTCGCTCTCTGAACCGGACTGTGCTGGTGATCCAGATTTGGATCGTGAGCCAGCCGAACCGACTGGGCTCCCCTCTTTTGAACCGGGTTGCGAACCGGATGGAGATCTCGAACCCGATTTCGAGCGCGACTTTGATCTTGAGCGCGACCTTGAACCGGACTTCGACCTCGAGCGCGACCGAGACCCCGATTTCGATCGGGAGCGCGACCGCGATCCTGACTTGGACCTCGACCCGGATTTGGATCGGGAACGTGAGCCGGACTTGGATCTAGACCGTGACCTCGAACCAGATTTAGATCTAGAACGCGATCTGGAGCCAGATTTGGATCTGGACCTTGATCTTGAACCAGATTTCGACCTGGAACCGGACTTTGACCTGGAACCGGACTTGGATCTGGAACGAGATTTGGATCGGGAGCCCGATTTGGATCGGGATCCGGATTTTGATCGGGAGCCAGATCTAGACCTGGACTTCGATCGGGAGCCGGACCTCGATCTCGAACCGGACTTTGACCTGGATCGAGATCGCGAGTTCTGGCGTGAACCGGACCTCGACCTTGAGCCCGATTTAGAGCGGGACTTGTTGGACCCCGACCGTGACCCAGAAGCGGATCTCGACCTGGAGCGCCGTGGACTGCTCCCTGGAGACCTGAAAAAAAAAGGTACTTTTTTGCACAAACATCCGAGGGAGATGACCCAGTTTAAAAAGATTCCCGGTTCCTCTGCGTGCCTCATGAACGAACTGCGACGATAGCTGAGGCACTGAACACAGGCATTTTCCCGATAATTTTGGAGGATAAATATTCCTGCTGAACGTCACATAGCACTGGGATGTCACACGACACCATGTGACATTGCCCAACACCACGATGACCCTACACAAAACACGGGGATCTGCTGCAAAAACACCGCCCATAACGGTTGTTGCTGTAACAGTGACCAGACGATGTGCATGCAATCTGCAAGCCTGCACGCCTAATTTTCACGTCAGACAATGCACTGAACATCAGAATGGGCTTTCGTAAATTACCCTTCCTTCTCGGAGTCCGAAGCCACAATCTTCCTCTTCTGCTTCTTCTTGCCCTTGGCACCGGTGTCGGAGCCGGATCCTTCGCTCTCGGAGGCCACCCTCTTGCGCTTGGTCTGCTTGCCACCCTCTTCGTCGCCACTGCAAGAATGCACCGTCCAGCATCAACCCAAATCTAAACGTTCTTCGAGCAATTAAAAAGGCACTCAATTGGATTTGGATGTCTCTTTAATACACAAGCTCAACCTACATGCCCTAACCATCAAAGAAAACCCCAAATTACGATCCTTTGTTGCCTTCTTCCCTAACATCGCAGCACGCCTGTGGTGACCAGAGGGCGCTGCGAGAGCAGGGGCGCTGGCAGGGGCGCACGGCACCTTTGCAGTTTGATAAAAAGTTTTCGAATACGACACAACTGGCGACGATTGCCCAGCCACGCGAGCCCCAAAGAAAGGGGTGATGTTGCAATGTTTGGCTGCATTTTTAATCGGAAAAAGACCCCATGCACCATTGCCCTTTTGAATTTGCTGGGATACTTGGGCACATAGCTGGAGTTTTCAACGTAACAGATAATCTCAAAATCTCCCCTGGTGCCCCCAAACTCCCGCAAACTTTGCGGGCCTCACGTGCGACGCTAGTTTCAATGTCTATGCGGAGCGCAAGTTCGTCTGCTTCTTTTGCAGAGGTTGTGGCGACGTCAAAACATTGAGCTGCGATAGGCTCTGATTGAAGGATAGTGGGCAGACCTCGAGGCAGCTTGCTTTGAGGTCTACCCACTCTCCTTCAATTGGAGCCAATCAGAGCTTAACATTTCCACATCACCACAATCCCTTCAAAAGAAGCAGATGAACATGCACTCCGCATACCAACGATACCATACGTATATGTTAACAATGGCTCGTCATATTATATACCATTCATTAAATCAGTATTCCCCTTCAGTGAGGTTTAATTGTAACTGACCACTATTATTCTCGATTGCACACTTCCACCCGCTGCAAAGGTGCCAGCATAAATGCTGGTAGACACAGAACCGTTCTCTTACGTTACACACAAGTCACCAAAACATTAGTGCTTGGAACCTTGAGTGCCAGGCTACCTCCTTGAACTGGGAGCCACACTTAATACAAAGCACAGATGTAAGCTTTCGCAACGTAACGCAAAATGAGAAAACGGGGCCGTGCGAACCGGCCTATGCTCTCACGGCAGACGGACGCAGACAAGAAAGAGAGGCTACTCCACCTGGACTTGCCCTTGTCGGAGTCCGAGTCCTCGCTCGACGAAATGGTGGCCTTGGAGACGATGCGCAGCCGCTGCTTGGCGGTCATGCCGGAATCCTTTGCGGCCGACGCCTTTTTGGTGGCCTTGCCTCCCTTGCGCCCTCTCCTGCCCTCTCCGTCCCCTCCGTCCCTGCGGCTTTGTCTCCTACACAGATTGTACAGATGAAACAATCAAATATGCTGTTACGATGATGACACAACAAGTACAGCGTGTGGCCCAAAAACTTTATGCAGTATTTTTTTTCACCGCAAAATCAAACTATGCATCGCCAAATGCTCATTCCCCACCCAAATGTGGCGTTAACGGTTCGAACCAGGGGTCAAAGTTTCAGAGCTACTAACTATTATCTCATTCAAAAGTTATAAAGTGATTTTCTGAAAATTGCAAAAAGAATGAGCATTTGGCGATGCAGTTTATTTTTGCAACAAAAAAAAACCTGGAATTTTTTTTGGGGGGGAAGGGGAGGGGGGGAGGCAACTTACACACTTGTTTTACGGCCTTGTTCTGTAAAGGCAATGTGGCCAGTGCGGAATGTTGGCTAGCATAGGGTCTTGCATGCACCACGCTTCAGCGATAACCCGAAAGAACGCTTGTAGTCGCAACGCCCGTCCATATTGAAACCGATCACCAAACTTCCTGTGCAGAGATAAGCGGCAAGAATTTGTCGAGCCATTTCAACGGGCCTGAGTAATATTCACTTCCGATGTCATCTGTTTCAATGCTCCTACATTATCCTCAGCAATAAAAAAAACGCTCGTGCTGTCCGCCCTCTTCTACGCCGGTCACGACGGGCAGTAAGATAAAACCTTTACGAGAGAAAGACCACGCCACTCTTTGGTGTGAGCAAACTCCTCGTCGCTCAACGTATCTTGTCCCAGCAGACAACAAAATGTCAAATTTCATCCGCCAAGAAAAAAACAATTCTGCTTTTAGGCAAACCAAGCAATTTTCTAATTCCCGTGAATCCGGAAACGTGTTAGTTAGCACTTAGTTGGCAACGCTCAAGCACAAAGAGGCATCCTTGACATGCGGGCGAACTGCCCTTGTTACTCGTCGGTCTACTGGAAATAGCTTGGGCAAGGCGGCCTTGTAACAAAGCACTCACTCCTTCCTCTTCTTCTTGCGCGACGGCTTGTCCTCGCCGTCCGAGCCTGCGGCGTGCTTCTTGCGCTTCTTCTTCTCCTTCTTTTCCTTGTTCTCAGCGTTCTCGCCGTCGCCCCCTTCGTCGCTGCTGTCGCTCACGTAGTCCTGAGACTTGCGACCCTGGAGGAACACAGCACCCCAAAATGTACCAACGTAGTACCAATGTAAACGAACCAATGAGTGTGTGCATTGGCACCAGCACCTTTGAATACACTCATGTTTAATGGCACTGTTTTGATCAAACCCAGCAAGGAGCAGTTGCTCTGATGTGCTTAAATTCTTGAGCAAGATACAGGTTAATGAAAGCAGGGACTGGATTTGCTGACATTTGACCTGCAAGGGGCCCTCATTCCACTTGCACTTACTGCAATTCTAAATGTGACCTTTTTTTTGTTAGTACAATAAAGTACCATATTTTCTGGACTAGAGTACAAGGACTACATGTGTTCAGAAGTTGAAATCTAACATGGTGTGGACCAGGGATGGGCAAAATACATGCAAATATGTATCGAAATACAAATGCAAAATACTTTGTCAAAAATGTATTTAATTACAAATCTAATTACATTTCCAAAAAAAGCATTTAAATACAAGATACAAATACAACCAAATGTATTTGGTCTCCTCCAAATACTTTTCCAAATACATTCCTCAAAATCTGCGTCAGCGACTTCAGGGCACCTGCAACGGGTTTCTGGGTATCTCACTTTACTTTTGCATCGCACACTCGGGAGTTAGTGTGCCAGGCTCTAGTCACGTAATAGAAATATAATCACAAAAAAAAAAAATGTAATCAGCTTGGACGTAATAGGTGAAAAAAGTACAGAGGTTCAAGCAGCATTTTTTGTCGATTACATTTTGGTAGAGACCAATAAAGAACCGAGACGACCAACACGCGCAGCACTAGCTAGATAATCTTTTATTGTTAAAATTCGCACCAGTTACGAAAATCTGGACTACCCGCGCATTTAGAATGTTCCAGGCAAAAATATGGATGGAAATCAGGCTGGAAAGCATCACAAGTTGTCACAGGCACTTATTTAGCCAGTCTGCCTGTGAACGTCACTTTCGGCACTATTCTTGCCCTGGACTAGCACCGTAATCACAAAGTCACTAAACGCTTGTGCTTGATTGAGAGACACTGCGTTCGGTGCAGAACGTAGTTCTCTTCCTGCTCTGGACAGTGACAATAAATTTGAGGGATGTATTTTCGCCCACAAAATTGTATTCAATTACAATTGTATTTGAAATACCTACGTTTTAGTATTTAAATACACACGTCAAATACATTACCCAATTTGTAATTAAATACAAATGCCAAATACACAAAGTATTTGAAATACGTATTTTAAATACTTGTATTTGAAATACTGCCCATCCCTGGTGTGGACTATCTACGGGTGCAAACTATGCAAGGTATTGTTTTTCAAGATTGCTCATTGTGACGACCTTGAAATTATGAAGCAAAATTTTAGGGACGATCGAAATACTGGCACAAGCATTTGAGGTACCGATACACTCAAGATACTGGGATATATGCCCGAGAACAATTTATGTGTGACTTTTCAGAAGGAAGGAATACACGTGCATAGCCTTGGTGCTACAGATGCACAAACTGGTGCCCTTAGCATTAACTCCGTGAGAAGGAGATGCTGGCTCCGTGAGAAGGAGATGCTCCTTCTCACGCGAAAGTTTGAGAACATGACGTTGCCTGGATAAAAAATTCACCTAGAAAGATGAAATTTCTCGACGAGCCGACGTCCCCCTAAGCCTAATATATCGTCAAAATGAGAAATGACATTGTGTGTGGCTAAAACGTCTATTCCAGTGGGAAAAAAAAAAAAGAAAACGCAAGTTGGCAGGAAGGAAAACAGTAGTATCCTCTTTCATGCTGACAAGCGCTCTTCACTTATGTAAATCCCACATCCCTCCACGACGTCAGCTCTTGTTTTGGTGATGATACTAGGCTTAGGTGGAAGTCGGCTCCCGGACGTATTTCATTTTTCCCGATCCCCTTCCGATACGGGTAACGTCGCACGTTTTAAAACTTCCCCATTCCATCTCCACCGCTGGCGTCGTACTCTCACAGAGTACGAGCTTCCTGCGATGCATAGTTCAATTACGCGGGCCGCAAAATGCGGTTCTCCTCTCTCGGGACTGCCCTGTAAGTGCGCCTTCCTGCTTACAAGGTCTGTAGACTCCTCCCCTGCTTTTGTCCCAGTGTCCAGACTGAGGGGCGTTCACCAGTTGCCAGTCAAGGCGGGTAGGGGATCGTCAGGATAGAAAAGCTGGAGAACCCCCGGACTACAATAAGACACGCTGGGACGGGCGGAGTAAACGGTGAGGGAGGCGGCACCTTGGACTTTTTGCCCGGCTTGTCCTCCGGGAAGTCTGCGAATTGGAGCTTGCTCTTGCTCTTCTCCACAAACTCCTGCCGCTTCATGATCATGGCCCGCTCCTGCTCCTGCTTCTGCTCCTCCAGGATCCTCTGCACATGCACAAGACATACAGGTCTAGAAAACACAGACCAGAACAAACAATGTTGGTTTGCATGCTTGCGTCTGAGAACGAGTGGAATGCTGCTGTAAGCAGCATTCCACTGCTTACGGCGAGATATGTTAATTCCCTTTTGTTTATTTATTTAACCATATCAATATCCAATATGAATATGGAAGTTATTGTTATGCGGGTACATTGTGATAACCCGTGGAGTCATGGAAGGCCTCAGATTGTATAATGATTGTATAATGATAGTATACTAAGTCTGTTTAGTGTATCTTGTTTGTCATATGTCTTTTGAGAAGGTAATGTGTTCTTATTTCATGAGCTGCCTGTTTTCATGCACAAGCCCAAAAGTGCTTTTGAGGTATAGAATACACTGTACAATTCAAGGAAGAAACCTGCAATAAACTTATTACTATCATGTTGCCAGCCGCCCCATCGGTGGCCAAAGCAAGGGTGAACGCTGCCTTCCCTACTGTGCGAGCAAACAAGATAAAAAAAAAAAAATAAAAATGATCACCTATAGCATTGTCAGAATTACTTCCAAGCCCACAAGGAGATGATAATGCGTAAAAAATTAGAAGATCTTGCCGCGTGCGTGGTTGAGAAGGAATGCTACTCCATACTTCAATGATGCACGCATGGCCGAGAAGGAACGGTACTTCATACTTTTAGAAAGATTCGTGTTCACTCTCATCCCGCACCTCCACCAGAAATGTCACAGACAGAAACAAATCGACAAGCATAAAAATAAAGATAAAGGTTTAATTGGCGAACTTGTGCCAGAAACAAAAGAAAGAGTATCAAGGAAGCAGCAGCAAACGTCGAGCTGTCGGCGTTCGTTGAGCTGTCATCCAGCACGAGGGTGCGAGTCCCTCTGGCTCAGCAAAGCCACACTGGGCTCTGATCTATTACACTCCATATCTCGAACATTCGGCCTAGGATGTTCGAGACTGGCTTGGCAAGGTCATGCAGGGCTTTTTATCCACTATACTCGGTATCTCCAACTTTGGGTTTAGAATGTTTGAGCGTCGAGCTAGCGCAAAGGTGACTCGGCAAGGCCAAGTGTTGGCCTCCTTATCTCTTACACCCGAGGTAAGAGTAAATACAAATCTTCTAGAAGTATGAGGTAGAGTTCCCTCTCGGTCATGCACGCGGCAATGTACAGAGGTCGGAAGGGTTCCAGGGCCACCCGGTAGATGGCGCCACCAGCACACTGTCTCATTGTAAGCTGCTCTGAGCGGTTGCGTCGCGGTCGGTCACACTCTAACGCAAATGTGTGAGGCGGCCTCAAGGCACGATGGAAGTGTAGACCGGCGCCATCTGTTGCAGTCACCTGCTCCTCGGAGATCTTGCGCCGGAGGGCTTCCCTCTCCTCCTCCTGTTTGCGCCTGATCTCCCTCTCCTCTTCGTCCATGCGGCGAGCACGTGCCACGTGGTACTGCGCCTGACTCAGCAGATCCTGACACTGCCTGCAAGGTTTGTCCACGTGTGGGGAGCGTTCGTCGAGCTGACCGCCAACGGCCAGATCGGGTTTTGCCGTCCTTGGCGGCCGTCTTTACGACGTTAACGGTGGGCTCACCTTGACTCGATGGCGGCCTGAGCAAGGTCGTACTTCATGCGATCCCCGTGAACGCTGAGGTACTGGAAATACCTGCGCAGAAGCCAATGTAATTCGTGAATTCATAGGCAATGGAGGCAGTCTGCCCTTTTACCTCGCAGGCAATCACAAAACAAACGATGCATAAGTGAACGGCACTATTAAAACAAAATCTTTTTCTCACAAAATACTCATGCTACACCCATGTTTGAAAATGTATCTAGTTCCAATGATGCATAAGAGGTAAATATTAAAACTGCAAGAAATAAAAAAAAGAAATTTTGTAAAGAAATAAATCTGATTCTCAAATAAACATAATATCTATTCTGCTGAGGCTTAAAGGGTAACTGCAAAGAAAAAAAGTGTATTTTTAAACAGCCTAATTGGGACAAGCATGTCACAAAACAATTTTTCCGCCAAAAACAAAATTTTTTACAGCAATAATTATTGCGCGAGACTGATTTTAGTTTGCGGCTATTTCGTCCGTTTTAAATTGCGCGCTACAAAGTTGGTATTATATGTCACGTAGTGGTTGCTATACATCACAGAGTGACGTACAACAGCCACTTTGCGCGCTTCGAAAGAGTGGGAGTTTCAAATGTGGAGAAGTTGTTTGTGACTCCGACTAAATTTCGTCCTGTGGCGTAAATATTGCTAGAAAAAATTTGTATTTTCGCAGATTTGTTTTGTGACATGATTGTCCCAATTAGGCTGTTTAAAAAAAAAAAACATTTTTTTTTCTTTGCAGCTACCCTTTAAGCCAAGTGAAATGATTTTGCATACAAGCATTTTGTTTAGGAAGTTTAGCTTATTAAAAATTCATAGTCTTTATGAATACAGACTGATCCTGAGTTTAAAATCAGCAAAAAAAGGAAATATTATAAATTGTTGTCAACCCTAGCGGCACTGACACGAAATGGAGTATTGGAAGGTTGTCTACTGTTCTACAAACTATGGTAAGCAAATGTTACGATATACCATACCAAAACTGTTAAATTTTCTTCTAGAAAAAGAAATTTGCATTGACACAATCTCCTTTAAGGCTTTGCATTCTTTTTATCTGTAGCAGCGACTCACCTCCCCCACTTTAAATTTGTTTATGCTACACAAAATGCATTCTTTAGTGTTTTTCGTATTTCTCGTCTGCCACGTCTGTGCATGCAATCTGTTTGGTGATTAATGATTGTGCTGTAATCTCGTGCACATTTTTGCTGCAATGCCATTGTATGGGGCCGAGGGCTGGTCAAGCCTCCCTTGAGGCTCTTACCCTTTACTCCACCATGCTTCATTGAAATAAACTTTTATTATTAAATTTTTTTTTCCTCACTTTGACATTTTGGGATACTAGGTTCATCTTACACAGGGTTTTAGAATGAAATTTTTATGTGACAACCTTGAACTTGATATTGTTGGTTCTGCATAGAATAGGTGCACCTGTAAGCACTATTTGTAGTGGTTTATCACTATCTACTAAAATCTAATAAACAATTACACTCCAGACTCCAAGTTGCCTTCAGACAAATAAAATTAACACTACCGGATGAAATCTTGAGCATAGTAGTCACATATATTTTGTTTGTAGATGCTGAGAAAAAAAAAATCTTATAGTCCGATAAGAACACCTTGAAATATGCCACAATCTAGTACAGCTATCCAGAAACTATAATCCCAGATTTGAAATCACCTGTTGCCAATGAACGAATGAGGCAAAAAACACATGAAAACAGATTATGAACAAGAAATAAAGTTTGAATACCACTGTTCTCCCTCAATTACATTACAGTGCAGTATAGTTACATCATGCAGCAGTGATGCCATGACCACGGGTTGAAACAGTGCCTGTCCAAACTGAAACGAGGAACGACCGAGCTCGGCAGCCCGAATCTCCGCAGTGCGCGCTTCCGATCCACGCGCTCCAAACTATGATGCACCGATGCACATGGACACCAAACCCCCCAATATCGGAGAAGATAAAAAGAAGTTTCAATGTCCCCCGTCTTCCCTTACGATTAGCGCTGAAAATAGGCCCGGTTGACCCAACCGGTGTCGTGTCCCTCCCTCCCCCTCCCCCCCTCTCCTCTCCTCTCTCTCTCTCTCTCTCTCTCTCTCTCTCTCTCTCTCCCCCCCCCCCCCCACCAGCATGTCCGTATCAACACCTCCTGAATAGCGAGGCAAAGATTGGCCAGCAACCCAAGGTCGAACGCGGCGCTGACCAATCGCGGCGACGGGCGATCTCGCCGACTTCCCCAAAACCCTCCGAACTAAAATCCTGGGGGGTGTTGTCCGAACACCCCATGGGGAGGTCTTGCAGGGAGGCTTTTGTTGCCCAGACCGTGGCCGAGAACCCCACCTGTGCGCCAGGCCGAGCTCGTGCACGGCGGACAGCACGGTGGCCAGGGAGGACTTGTCGTCGCGCAGGCACTGGGCGGCCAGCCGCTGCAGCACCAGGGCGATGTTGTACAGCAGCAGGGTGTCCTGGGGCGCCACCCTCCTCGCCCGGAGCAGGATGCGCTTGCACTCCCGCAGCCGGTTACAGCGGAACAGGGCCCGCCCCAGAAAGATCAGGATGTCCACGTGGTGATGCCGGAAGAACTTGCGCAGGCAGTTCTCGTACTGCGCCGTCCCGCGGACGAGAAACGAGGCGTTTCTTCAAACATGTTTTTTTTTGGGAACGAGGTGGATGCGATATGTTGCGACCGAGAGTTTGAGTTTGCTAAGCTATACCTATAAACACTGCTGCTATAAGAATGACATGTCGTCTTGACCGGCTCTCTCGCTTTGCGAGCACAGATGCATAACAGGCCCACTCGAAGCATTGTGCTTGTTCTTGTAGCTTCTCCTTTGCTTGTGCTTGTTTAGGTAAGGATTGCTATTGCAAGGCTGTAATAAGTACTAATATAAAGTTTGAATAAAGTCCCAAAAATGGCATAAGCCCTTAACTTAAGGTAGCTCTCTAAACAAACATCAGTATTTTCAGGAAGAACCTTCACTGCACGAGTAACTTAATATAATTTAAACTTTGCTTCGAATTATCCATACTTTATTTTTCCTCGTTTGCGCTGTGGTTCACCGTGTACGGTTCAGTTACATGAGTCTTTGCCATAAATAAGATCTGCTGTACAAGGGAGGGTCGTGATAGAGTGAAGACTTCTCGTAAAAATGTAAATTTACTAAGAGTATTAGTAGAGTGACGTTTCACTAGTTTAGATACCTTCGTTCCCCCAAAAACCGTCCATAATGTTAGCAGTCAATAATAACGAGACTAAAATTTCATCCCTAAAAATGTTTTCTACTATGTCGTGGCATATTCACAAACGAGGTACGTATTGATTGAGACATGACTACACCACACCCCAAGAGATGGCATCCCACAAAGGAGCAGACTAACTCTGGAAGGAGAAAACAATAAAAAACTTATGCAATCGCAAAAAAAAAAAAAAAAAAAAAATATTGGGTGTAATGGGAGGATTTTGGTATAACCACGACCATGTCGGCCAGAATCCCCTCCTTGCTACCAACTAGGATTCAGGCAAGGGCTCTGCATCCTTCATGCTAGACCACTAGCTTGCAGTTTCATTACACTCATACACAGTCCATAGTTTGCATTGAGCAAGCTGATAGTCAGACAACTGCACCTTGACATCAAACTTGATGGCTGATTTTAAGTGCTGGCTACAATGGTAGCTATCCACTAGAAGCAGAGTGGATGCAAACTGCGATGGGAACCACACGTTGCCTCACAACAAAACTTTAGATATGCAGCAAATGCAAAAGCTACGCAATTTGAAGACAGATTCCACGAATAGAAGGTAAGTGTGCAAACAAGCTGGTGTAAACTGAACATAATTACAACTCCAAAGACTGGAGTGAGACAGGGGGACAGGACAAATATGAAGTCTTCAAAAACCTTGTGTTTGTCCTGCCCTGTTTTCTGTCTCAGACACCGGGTTTTCATAATTATGTTAAACTGATTCCATGTTTAGTTGCTTAAACACATTCACACTCTGACGCCGCTTATTAGCACATCCCTACAAGTTTGCCATCGAAAAAGAAGCATATCTGCAGACTACAAATACAGATCGGTAGAGGTTGAGACATTTACAGGAGAGCAAGTCAGTCACCATGGTAACTAAGTGTTTTAAGCTGAGAAGCAGAAACAACACCCACCATTTGTATGGCTGCCACATACTGTTTCTGCTCGACATAGATGTGAGCAATGTTGAGCCAGACGTCGCAGAAGTCAGCCGTGGCTTCACGGACTTGGGCAAAGATGTCGCGTGACTCCGAGATGTAGCCCTTGTGCGCGAGCACGGCACCTGCAGGAACCCGTCGGTTGCAAGAGGGGCACAAGCTCGAGAAAACTCCTCTTTGCCAGCGGTGCGCGGCCAGTTATTTGCCTAAGCATAGAGGCTGCTCAACCTTCGAGCTTTGCAAAGGCGTGCCCACTGTTGCCAGACATGCACCCGATAAGTGCAGTCCCACCCAGAGCGGCCAGATCAGGTTTTGAAGTGCGGATGCTTGCAAGAGTGTACTTGTCATACAGGCTTATGAAAAACCATCAGCTGTGCAAAGAGAGCCCATACTCGATTAGCTTTTCTCTCAACGAAATATAATAGCTATTATTAGGATGCGACTCTTAAAAAAAGTGACGGAATGCCAAGGAAACTGTTACAAAATCTGCACACATACGTCAGAGGACAATCTGCAAAAAAAAATGTGGTGCCGTATTTGCACGATTGTAAGTTGACCCCCACATTGCCCATCAGCAAAAAAAAAAAAAAAAATCTGTAGAAACACACTTTACAGCGAACGCGCAAGAGCGGCCGGGCATCTCCTGCGAAAGCCCAGCCTCAAGCACGAGATTGATGCCTTCTGAAATGCTTTGGCTGTGCATGCACGCGCGAGGTGCATGAGATGCCCAGTGGTTATCAAAACTAGAAAGTTCACGGGACAACTGAAGCTACTCCCCGTCGTTCTCGCTCTGTCCGCGACTAGAGACTATGATTCGTCCGCACTGGTGATGTCATCCTTGTCGTCGTCACTGTTACTTTCTCAAAGCACGTCGTCATACAACAGAACCTCGCACTGCGCAAATGACTGCATCAACCGCATCTTCCACGCTTGCTCGGTGATCGCGCTGCAGGACGGGTAGGGACCGATCGCGCTCTTCTGCGGCGTACATTCCCAGTCCGACCTCCAACTCTGGAAGGCGTCCCCACCTATCCAGACTTTGACCTGTGGAAGCCTCTTTGTTTGTTGACACAGTTAAGGTCCCGCGTCATTGCAAGCTCCACAGGAGTACCGCCCACATCGACAGATCGCACTTGCGTACAGTGGCGCGGTTGTTCGTTGCTTCTGGACGAAAAATGGCCATAAACGAACACTGAAAACCTAAACTGCCCGGATCACACACATCAATAAGAAAAAACATAGTTGGCGCTCCAGCATGATCTTTACACTCGATCGAACAACATGTGACCGCGATTCGTACAAGAAACTGCAGAAAGAAGCCGTAGGGAGTGAGGCGTGAGGCTGTTCCAGCAGCCATTCCAAAGCGGCTCTTATAAGAAGTGCTGCCACCTCCGGGAGTCAGGAGCACCGTGCGCCGTTCACTGCCGTACATTCGGGCTAATTTGCAAATCACTATCCATAATACTTGTTCATGCAAATAGTGCAATAATAATAGTAATGCTCTATTTGCAATGCTACAGGTACAGCCGGCTAAACTCGTAACAAGTCGCGGTGTTCTTGATGTCGTGATTGCTTCGTTTTTGTCGGCGGTGGAATGTTAGGGTTCGTTTTTAAGTCGATTCCCCCCACTTCAGATTTTCAAAAATTGAAAAAGGGATTGACCTACATTCGTGTAAATACGGTAAACTGAGAAGAAAGAATGAAATTCTAGACGTGCCACGACGGGAATCGAACCCACGACCTCATGATTGCAAGCTCGACGTACTAATGCTACGCCAAGTATGTGGATAGACACAAAGCTAGTTGGTTCCGTCTCTATCACAGTGGCGCCTACAAGCCTCAAACGCAAGTGGCAAACACCGGCATTTGGCGTGTAATAATAAGCATATCCATAAAAAGAAAAAAAGAACAATTTCGCTGAAGGCAGGCGGAGTCGCCATCCGAACTCGTCTGCAACGACAAGGCGTGCGCTCACCCACGCCGTTGGCGGCCCAGATGTTGCGGGGGTCTAGGCGCAGCACCTGCTTGTACATGGCGAGCGCCCGGTCCTGGTGGCGGCGCTCCTTGTCCCGGTCCCGCATGGGCTGGTGCAGCGTCTGCAGCCACACGTTGCCTAGGGCCACCAGGGAGTAGGCGTCCCCGGGGGCCCCCTTCAGGATGCGCTCAAACTTCTTCTGCCCCGGGCCCCACTCCTGCTTGGCCAGGTGCAGGTTGCCGATCAGGGACCACGAGTCTGGGTGCTCCTGCCGACCGATCCAGATCAAAGACGGATTAATACGGACTAAGGTTAAAGACAAATCAAAATCAACTAGCCTGCTTCTTTTGTTTGCCCATTCTATCGAGTTGTAGTTTATTTATGTATACAGAGTTTTGCAGCGCTTTCATTTACTTCAGCTTGTTCTCATAATTAGATGTTTTCCCATACACGTATCATGGATCTGCTTTCTATTCTCTCAGACCCTCAAAGGAAGCCGTCAACATGGAAACCAGTGAAGATTTCCCCAGCAGATGTGGCAGTGAAAACTGTCGCTCAACGAGTTAGAAAAAGTTTGGTCACCTGGTTAACTTGGAGGGCTTCTTTGAACCAATCGGACGCCTCGTAAATCTGGCCACGGTCTCTAGCCATGCATCCGAGGCGGAGGTAACCTTTAGAAAAGAAACAAGAGTGAAGGAACTCGGTGAGCGTTCGAGGTGCGACAAATATTGAGTCTTGCACTTAAACTAAGACCGCACCCTTTTGTCATTTACTCCAAATGATAGTGAGCGTTCTATCTAGTCTATAGCCACCGGCAGAGTAAGAAAACAGCCTGCCATTCTCATTTTGCCAGTGACTGTAGCAGCAATACAACTGCCATGCCTTAGGTTTCTGATTTAAATTATGTCAACTGCTTGTATGAAAAACAACATCTTACTTCTAAGGCACCTTATAACAATAATAATAATAATAATTATCTCTATTCGTGGGTGACCCCACAAAAAATTCATCTTGAACGCTGGAAAGGCACCATGGTCTGTGACCTTTCGGATTTCACCACCGTTTCTCTGAAGTTGTTGTTAATTATGCTTCAGAAAGTACAGATAGTGCAAAATAGGTAGACTTACTGGTTAGGTTCGCTCGGTAGAAATCCAACAATGGGAAGTTTGAAAGTAATGTACGCAATTTTAGCGCAAGCTACCACTAAATTTAGCGCTTGCGTTAGCGCACGCTACGCAAAGAGTTTTTGGAATAGTGTTCCTCTGCCGTGACGCAAAAGCCAGAGCATTTAGCGCTTGCAATGCCGCCAAGGTACAGTCACAATTTTTATTTCACACACGAAATGCTGTAATTTGAGCAAAGACAGTTATTTTTTTTATTCAGAGTAATATTTTAGATTCGTTCAAATGTGAGTGCGACGGGGGCGGTTGACCGGTCGTGTCCGCTTGCGTTTCCTTGGCAAGTGAGGTCTTGTGTACTGAACTTCGCACACCATACTTTTGCCGAGAAATGTTTGCGAGTCAGAAGCATCAAGTTGTCGGCGATCATTGCCCATCTTACCGGGTCTAACTAAACCGAGTGCAATGTCGTTCTGTGTTGAAAATCGCAGTCACGAGGATGCCACCAACATCACGCTCACAACGCCACTAAAGCCGCCGCAACCACGTCTTGGAAGCCGCCATTTTTTAACTGCTGGCCTTGGCTTTACCCAACTTCTCATCACAAATCCTCCTTGGAGTATTACAAAGACCCTTTGCGTACGCACACAATTAAATTTTCGAAAAATAGCACACGCGAAGCGCAAAACGTGGTTAGCGTTTGGCGCAAGTGCAGTGGTGACGACGCTATTCTTAGCACACACAAACACTTAGCATGCGCTATTTTAAAATTGTTTAATACCGTGCTCACGGCTGTGACATAACATTTCAAAATTCTCCGCACAAGAAAGCATTTAATATCCCGAAACAATAAACCGAGAAATAAAGCACTAGGAGTTCAAGGCCACGGATACTTTCCCTCGGGCGCAGCATCTACTGAACAGATATTATTATTATCGTCATAATTCCCACCCAATTTTGACACCGACACCTTTTTCCATAGTTTATGCGTGCACATAATTTACTGTGCAAAATCAACTTCTCGCATTTTCTGCACATCTCAAGAGCCACGTCATCTCCTCGATTATTCAAAGAAGCTCTAGCCATTGTAAAACACTATAGGGACGTCGGTGGACCACAAGAAAGCCGGCTGCCCGAATCGAATGACAAAAACAAATAAAAATGGACGCATCTCCACAAGGGTGAATGATGTTGATTGGGGCGAAGCTCTGGTGGTGCTGATGATACTGATTTTATTGTTCATAGGTAGTGCTGATGGTGCTGATATTTTTTTATTGCTCATAGGTAGTGCTGAGTTCGGGGTTGCATCTCGACTTCATTATTACTGCTTTATGGTCGGTGAAACACAGAGCCAGTGGTTCTTCTAGTGGATCAGCTTCGATCCGCTAGAAGCCGTGGGAATGCATCTCCACCGCTGTCAACGGTCCATGCCAGAAAGAGAATGTGTGGTATGGATCGTGGTTATATACGCAGTTGAGTATTTGACCGCAGCGCCCTCTCGTCTATAGACGTTGAGCCAATGCATGCAAAGTTTAACGCGATTATATAGGCATTTGATCGCAGCACCCTCTCCTGTATAGACGTTGAGCAGCTACATGCAACGTAAGCAAGCAGTCCTGAGTTCGAACTCCCGTGCGGGCGTACATTGTTTTTTTTTTTAAAGTGGGCCGATCCCAGAGGCAGTGCAATCGATGTGAGCACGGACGCCGGAGAAGGCTAGAACGTAAGGAGCTTTGCCCCTTATACACCAGTTTGATCATGCTGACAAAGACTGGAAAGCGTGCAATGTGATGACTGCAAACCATACACCTCATGTGTGGTTTGCAAGTGAAAGCTGGTTCAGACGTCTGCTGCAAGCATGCTAGCTACGTCTGCTGACCGGAGCGACTGGAATAACCGCTCTGTGCTGTGCGCACACGTTCCGACAACATCTGCAACAAGCGCAGCACTCCTGGCTAATGCAGCGGCCGTCAGCAAGGCAGCCGCGTCTCCACCCCCTTCAGCCGTTTCCGAAGGGGGGGGGGGGGGACTTGCTGCCACTCACTGGCGTAACAGAAGATGGACCGACAGTTTTCAATGGCTTTGAGCTTTATTAATTTTTATTTTATTTTAGGCTCACAGGACTGAGCAGACGAAAGAAATGCAGCATGCTGCCTTGGACAATTGCGACTTTTAACGCACTACCCTACCGACGGCACGGCCGCACGCTTCTTCTATGGTTACGGAAGACGACGTAACTTTAGCGGCGACATGGCAACGTAGAGATACGATGTCGTGATGGCGTAGACGTTGCAAGCGTTCGAAAATGCTGCACCTAATCGATTTCCCCAGAAAACGAAAGCGCGCAGAAATTCGCATTCTTCGGACACACGTTCGAAAACAGTATGCACCAGCGGTACCTTGAACACGAGCACACACATAGAGTGCACAAAATATGAAATCCGGGCGATGTTCGAGGACACGAACGCTGAGAAAAGACCACTGTAGTTGACGTAAACGAACACGGGGGCACGAGCGTTTCTGCTGTCTCGAGGGTACCGCCACGACATCGCCGCGCTAGTAGATAGATCTTCTCTTCTAGGACGTGGTGGTTCATCGTCGCGGCAGAACGACGAGAGTTCACAGTCAAGGGTAGCTCTATACGCAGAACGACACTCTTCCACCATGCCGACCATCGATGATCACCGCCGCGTTTTTTAGTGAATAGCAGGAACCACGACCTGCACGCAACGTGCGCGGCCGAGCTCTCCTCGATTTGCGATTCGTCGATCATTGCGGTCGCTCCATTCGTTCCCAAACGTGCCGAAAAAGTTTGGCGCGGCCCGACTCTTTGCGTCACGAATGACACGGCCATCTGGCGCTTCGTTGCTACAATAACTCATGTTCCAACCAATTTCATTCGTTTGTACCTAGTCGTAGCGATCGCTCTGAACACAAGCGCATGAATGGGCTTGAGGCTGATGCGGGCGTGGCGTGCCTAGTGCAATACACACACATAAAACACAAGCATAATGGCACGTGACATCATCAGATCATAACATCCCCATAAGCTTCGTGTGGAACATGATGCTGGAGTCAGACAGTCGAGTCTTACAGTTTTTCTATAATAGGAAACGGCTCATAAAACACCTCCCTCGTGGAAAAGAAAAGAGCTCAAGAGGTAGTAGCACTTACAATTTACAATTTATAAGTGAGAGCAAAAAAGGGATGAAATAAACATTTTTCTCTCTAGTTATACCACCAGAGGGTATAACAAGTTTAAACCAATTAAAATAAATGAATAGAGCCGAAATTCAGCCAAAATGTAATAATTTTATGAAAAAAGCCAATTTAAAAAAAAATAACATGGGAAAAGTGGCACTCACAGTCGACATAGTTGGGATGTTCCCTGAGGATGTTCTTGTAGGCCTGCTCGGCCCTGTCGAAGAGGCTCAGGGCTTCGTACAACCTCGCCAGGTTGTACGTCGTCGTCACCGAGATGGACCCGTAGTAGTGCTCGTCATTGCCAGACTCCGTGCGGCTGCGCTCCAGAGACGCCTCATAATACCTGCAAAGATATCGCGGCGCGAGCGTGAACCTTTGCAAAAGTCGCTCTGCGTGACACACACTGCATTCACCGAAAGCTGCATGGACGTCAAAACACTGCTTTGCGAGTAACCGAGCAGTGGCAGCACTTCTTCCATAGCTCAACTACAGGACTCCCAAACATCTTTACGTTTCTCCCCACTACCCTTTTTGCCGAAGCTTTCTCGACTAATTTGATGAAACAAAAACGCCTGGAACCATCAGTAATAACCATTGAGGTGTCCTAAACACTGGGAATGTTGAGTGGCACTAGGTTGGGCTTAAAAAAAAGTCAGTAGAAATAATTTCAAAAAAAGATGGTCACTTCAGCATTTTCCAAAAGTGCACTAAATGCATAGTATTTAGAACACTCACATCCACCCAAAGCCACAGTGAGTCACACAGATTACACGGTGCACCAAACGCATCACCTGTGAACTGGCGCTTGAACTGCCAGTTGGCCACTGTGTAATGGCAGCTCACTTCCAACCACTGCTGGGCCTGGCACTTTTGTTTTGCAGCTGCGTCCCTTCTTCCTCCCTTTTGACCTCGCTGCGCCCGTTGCTGCTCGGCGCAACAAAGCCTGACACAAAGGCTAAAAGCAAAAGCCTTCGTAGTATGTTCCATCTGTTTTTCTGCGAGTGCACACTGAGGAAAGTCCCAGAGCAGCCGACCATTGTACGCGGAGCATGCAATGTGTGCGACCGCATACTCTGTGCTGCATGCTCTATGACGTCTACCCCCTGGTACGGACGCCAAAATGCTAAGAGACGACCCTATAAATGCTATGCTTTTTAAAAAACTGCAACGTCACGCTGGCCCACCTGCGTGCCTCCTGCAGGTTCCCCATGCGGAAGTGCAGCGCTCCGACGTTGCTGAGGATCTCGGGTGGGATGTCCGCCTTCACCTTGTCCTGGAGGAGGCGGGTGGCGGTACCGTAGGCAGACAGCGCCGCCTGCACATCCGACTGCTCCAGGATTTGGGCCAGCTCGATCCAGGCCTCCACGTCCTCCGGAAACTGCTCCGTCACCTGGAAAGGCCATTCTGGGTGACCTCTCTTTCTGCCACACTCCCAGAAGATGCTGTCTTCTGCACTTCACTGATACTACTCAGCCCTGAAGATATCATTGAAAGACAATGGCACAGATACCGTCGTTCAAAGTGGCTGGGCACCTGAAGGAACTAAAGAACCATGAAGGGCAAAAACATTATTGTTGTTGGTGCTGCGATTGGCAATTGACAAGTCGCGTCCGTCACTCTTGTGCCCAGCGGGGGCAAAAACATTATTGTTGTTGGTGCTGCGATTGGCAATTGACAAGTCGCGCACGTCACTCCCGTGCCCAGCGGGAGTAGAGTCTTCGCTTCGAGACACATCGACCAACAGCAGACCAACAAGCAAAACGAATGTGCGCTCAACACTAGCAGAGCACGTGTGCAAGGCATTCCATTCCGGACTTGGTCAAATGAAGGTGAGGTTCTCAGCATTGTTGTTCTAATGATTGAATGTTGCAACAGGCTATTAGTTCCCTTGTTTTAGGAAAAAAAGGGAGAGAAAAAAGAAGCTTCGAAGCACATGCTACCTTCTTGAGGTGGGTTTTGGCCTGGTCACGCTTGGACTGGCTCGATGAGTTGGCATACAGGGAGCCGAGAATCTTCATGGTCTCATAGTTTCCGGGCTGGGCCTTGAGCACCTTCTCGAAGCACTGGGCCGCATTGTCCACATCCCCCCGGAAGATGTACATCTGTCCCAGGCCAAAGTGGGGCAGCACAAACGACGTGGGCGCAAACTGCGTCGCCTGGGAAAGGAGGAAGCAGCCTGGGTGACTCGGTGGCGTGCGTCGAAACAAATCACAAACCTAGTCAAAAGTCACAAAAAGCTTACAAAAGGTTTTTGTTTGTTCTTATGTAAAAGACACAAGGTTTGCCCCAACTACAGTCCTCATGTATTCCCCACCGTTTATTATCGAAAATGGGAGACATTGAGAAAAATATTGTTGAAAGGAGAGAAACTTGAGATTGCCGACAATCCTTACAATCGTAATACTTTTGGATCATTAATAATAAGCTTTTTGGTATTGGTGGGCACAACAACCAAGACCAGTGACCTAAAAACATAACAAACACTTCCTTTTTTCTAGTTTATGATCTACTGCCAATCATTCATCACTGCCTTGAGCCTGCCATGGAACATTCACCACATACACAATTCCCTCACAATTTCAGTTATACCAAGATTTCCTACAGTTACAATAGGGAGAATCCACTCCTTAGCTACCATACATGTTTGTAAGCCCATGGCCAATGCTTTAATCTCTGGTTAGCAAACTACCAATGTAGGCATTCGAACACAGCAAGACAACTTCTGGGAGTTTGTAATAAGGACACGCAATATGCCAAACAGTTGGTTACTTTTTGCCGCACGCCGCTGCCAAGGAACTGGACACAACAGCTGTCACGAATCGTCCGCTGTGGCGAAGGTACTATGGGGATGAGATAATTCACGCTACCTATACATCCTGCCATTCTTAACTGACAAGTTAAGAATGGCAGGATGTCCCTTTCAAATCCCATCCTTGCTTCATCGTCCCAGGGATTTCGATGACAACAGGCTCAGAACGGCTTCCATTAATAAACATAAAAAATGCTCATTTATCTCAATCCTACGGATGAAGTTGGCATGCACAAAATGCGTCTCCGCGGCATTCTTCGGGTTTCGCTATGGACATGGCATTTTTTTCCCTAATTTTTCTTTGGTTATAGTGTGTTATTTTATTCCAAACTCTGTCCCCTTTTTACCGTGTTTGAACGATTCTAACGCACAGGCAGATTTAGCCACCATATAATCAAAAAGTAAATTGCTGCCGATACTACCGCACAGGTAAAATAATCAAGAATGAGCACATACGTCATAGAACCGAATTTATAAAACGCATGCCAACACAAAAATAATGCAGTGCACTAGTCGCCGTTATCAGAGTCTGACGATGGTTCTTTGTTGTCCACAGAAGTAATTAATACTTGCTTTCGTCTAAACCGATTTAAGTGTCGCACTTCTTGCACATGTACGAGTGTGTGGCTGTTGTTTCTGGCGGGGTCGTCTTTCAAACAACACTTTGCAAGCTCGTCAGGTGGCTGGGATTGCGAGGCCACGCAGTCCTGCTCCGTTGTTATCTTTTTTCGCCAGCGTGATGGTCTTTCGTTCAAATAAAACCTCCTGGTGGAATTTTTTTTTTTTTATCTTAAAACGACAGGCACGAACGAGTCTGTAGACGCGAGAGAATGTGCGTGATAAGGATACCAGAATGGCAAACATGCAAACATAAACAAACAACCACGATGGCGATGGGGCTAGCTACCTTATACTAAGCATTGCATTTTTCACGAGTTTCGGTTTGTGGTTTCGATTGTAACGCGCATGTAGCTTTGGGCACCGATTTTGGCGGAAAAAAGTGTGCGCCAGAATCGTGCAAACACGATATGTGATGGGTGGGCACATCTCGGGATTTTTTGTTTCTTCTCATACACTGCTTCAGCATGAATGCCGAACACGAACGCCGGTGTCCGGCGCTCGAACAGTTAGAAGGCAAGACCGTTGTAAAGAGAGAAACCCAGCTAGCTTTGCGCCTACCCACTGATTGGCACGGTGGTAGAAAGCTGTTGTCCCAATCGTAGGGTCGATTCCCTTTGAGGAGCATTTAGAATTTCTTTAATTTTTGTCTCAATTCACCACTTTTCATACAGATTGTCCTCTCCAGTACGCGTTGCCCATTCCGTAACCGTTTTCGGGCCGTTCTGTCTCACTTTCCCCAGAGGTCCTGGTCCTAAGACACGCCCCGCGTCAAGAGAGCCCACAGCCTGCCCACCTGGTAGTAGTACTGGAAGGCCTGGTCGAAGTCCTCCTGGACGTGGAAGGAGCGGGCGAGCTGGTAGCAGCTCTCGGCCCGCATGGCCTCGTTCTCCGTGTTGTGGAAGGCGTGCAGGGCAAGGTGCTGCACCTTGCCGTAGTCCTTCTTGAAAAAGAAGTGGTTGGCCAGCTGGTTGAGCACCACGGGGCACGAAGGGTCCACAGCGTACGCCCGAGACAGCATCTGGACCCCCGTGCGGGTCGCCTCGGGGCCCTTCAGGTTCAGCTGCAGGACGGCCAGGCCCGCCAGGGCCCCCACGCACTGGGGGTCCAGAGCCAGGGCCCGCTCAAAGGCCGCCCGGGCCTTCTCCTGCTTACCCAGCCGGTAGAAGCAGTGGCCCATGCCAAGGCGCACCTGCAGTTGATGTTGTATTACATTGTGTCGAAGCCTAACGTTTGGCCCCTTGTCGTATTGTCTCCAAACGCCCAAGTGTAACTTTTTATGTCGCTTCGCTCATTAAGGCTACTAGCCTGGTGGGGAAGCAGGAGTCAGCATTACCTCACTCCGTGAAATAACGGAACAGTTGGCCTCTCGTCGTGACGTCGCGTTAGAAAGCCAAGTGCCCAAACATAATTTTTTTTTATTTAGTTTTGTCATTATAGTACGCATTTTGACAGAAGCAAAGCTGAGGTTTGCCCAGCCATTGCCGTCGCATCAACATACCGTGCAGTCTTCGGTTAAATTTAGCAGGCTAGCATCTTTCTGAATCTAGCGGGACGCCACTATACATCACATGTCACCCGAGGTCACGCTGTCGTGTCATGATGCCAGGTCAGCGACGACACGGTGTCAGCGACGTTGTTAGATTCAGTACCGCTGGGAGTCACAACGAATCCCATTGCAATAGACCCTCTTCCAAACTCCGTCGAGCAACAGGACGGTCATGGCGACCGTCAATGTTGCACCACAAAGGAACGAATTGCGCGATCGGATCTGAGCCCTCGCCGAACATGGATGCAGCGCTCGTTTTCGATACGAGCCGAGCCAAGTTCACGCCGAACCCCTACGCAACCCGCGTGTCCAATATATGCTCAGAGTATTTGCTTGAAAAGGGTCTATTATCGCTTCTGTAATATTGCCAAAGTCGTCACAGCCACCGTCGAGGGCCCTCCAGCCTCACCTCGGCCGGGCAGTTCGGGTTGGTGCGCAGAGCCTTCTTGTAAAAGGCCAGGGCCCCTCTGTAGTCCTTCTTGTTGAATGCGATGCAGGCCTTTCCCAGCAGAGATGGAATGTTGTTCGGAGACTGTTTAGAAAGAAAGGAGACAGCGCCACCCGGGCGTCACTGTTAAGGGGCCCTTATAACTTCCACAATACATTATTTTCAAGTGCTTGCCACAAAATAAACATGCACTGAAAAAAAAAAATATTAACACATTTTTTAATTTTATTAAACACATTTTGGGTTCCGAAATATGCTTCTATTTCAAATGCCGACCCCGAAATAGAAGCACTTTTGGGGAATTGCTCTTAAAGGACAGTGAACTCCCCAAGAACATTTTTAAGGAAAAAATCTCACCTTAGAAAGAAAGAAGTTTAAAAGTAAAAAAAAGTCACAAATACAGCGCTGACTCAAGACTTTGTTTTCTTTCTCGTCTTCTTTTGCCTTATTTTTTGTGCTACTTTTTTTTTTTTTGCTTCTATATGCGTTGAAGAACATGAGAAAGAAAACAAAGTTGTGAGTCAGCGATGTGTTTGCGTCTTTCGTCTACTTGACCTTGCGCCTTTTTTCACCGTTTTCACTGGCAGAAACTGCTACGAAACGGCATGAATTAGGCAACCATACCTGGTTCAGGACGAAGTTGAACTGCGCATCTGCCTGATCCATCTTGTCTCCTTCGAGGAGGCAGAAGTAGGCCCTCCCCAACAAATGGTTCTGAAAAGAAAAAGTATAACAAAGTAAGTTAACAACACTATAACAAGTACTATGCTTGTAAACATGAGGATCTTTAAAAAATGTCCGCACAGAAATCAGGGCTTTCCACAGGCACAAAATCAATTTTTCAGAGCAAGCCTTACTCCCCCGTCTTGACTGCTTCTTACAGCACACAACGAGCTCTCACTAAGCTGTGAAGCATTTTGTGGGCGACGTACGACAAATATGTTTGGTGTTTGTAACGGCTTACGGAAAACCTAATCTTAAGTAGTTTTAGTCCCACAACTTTGACCGTAGGCGTTTTCGCACGTGTGACAAGGATATAACTAGGTTATAAAATTTTCAGCTCTTCACTTCTTGGTCTAGTTTGAAAATGTTTATGAGCAATTATACAACTTGAAAACAGCAGTCTGTTACTGTTGCCTCTTTAACACCAATGTTGCAATTGGTGATGACCAGATGACAATATTGCAACTTCCTTGGATGGAGTGGCATCCAGGAAAATCATAAGCGTGCAGCAGAACCCCTGTGGAGTGAAGATGGGGACATAACGAAGCAAAGTTGAAATCGTATGCTCGTAATACCCGTACAGGCATCTCAGGTACAAACATAGTGAAAAAACTGATATAGTGAAGATTTTGCTTGAAGAATTGACCTTACTGGAAAGGCATTCCATTGTAAGTTGGACGGTAAAGCACACTAAAGCTTTACAGGACATGAAAATTTGAACTGGCCATATTTTCTGAAGAGATCAGTTATGACAGCCATAAAATGTGAGCCTGTGCTCACGGTTCAGTCCCAAGATGTGATTGCATCCAACCCTCGTCAAGCCTTAAGAGAGATTATAATGCAATTAAATGCAAAGGTGCAAGCGACCTGGACAGGAATGATGAAAATAATCCCTGAAGAAGGGGAACAAGAGAGTCAAAGGACAAACATAAATCTCCAAACACAGCTAGGTGACTGGTGCACGACCAAAAAAATTCTGCCTGGTCCGGGTATCGAACCTGGGACCTCTCCATTTCCAGGGGAGCGCTCCCCCAACTGAGCTAACCACGGGTTAGACGTCAGTAGAGCAAACAGGTTCTAGCAGCTGCCACCAGAAGCTTGCATTTTAAGGTTATGATTATAGTGAATTAAATGCAAACGTGCAAGCGAGCTGGACAAAAATGACGCCAAACACAAATCCCCAAACACAGCTACTAGGTGACTGGTGTGCGACCGAAAAAGTCCGCATTCTCCAGATATTGTCTTCCCCAAAAGAAAGCCAGCATCTTTCGACTGTACCCGATTCCGTATCTCTGTCACCGGCAGAAGCCTATCAACCTGGCCTTGCCTGACCTCGCTTCGCGTCACGAAATTTCTCGATGGTGTCTCTTTCATAAGGCCTTTCACCCTAGTCCATCATTCGGTTAACATCCTCTTACAGAACCTTTCTATGTTTCATCCTGTCTCGATCGCTATGATAGAGTAGTAGGGATACCAATATGCAATACTAACACATTCTACAAGTCATTAATTCCCAAAATCTCCTTAGACTGGAACCACCTTCCCACTTTCGTCGCCACAATCCAGCCAGATCACCTGTTTGAATCAGCCATTAATAATATACTGTACAGTGCCATCCACTCTTCGAGGGGTACTTCGGCTATTTTTTAAGCTACCCAAACTAACTACATTTTCTAAATCTCAGGCCTTTACTGTTCCAGGTATGCAATATAGTATAGCGAAATTAAGAGTAGTTATTGTGAAATCGGCACATGAAAATTATGCCAAAACCAACATTTAAATATACCTGCGCTTTTCAGTGCCGTGACATCAGTGTCAGGAAGGCTTGCCAGTCAAGCGGGCAGTCTAAAAATGGACTATGCGGAGCATCCATTTCGTGCTGCTGGGCGGGTGCTGGAGCAAGCTTCCAAAGCATTCATATGACACCCTGAAACTGCTTGAAATCAGTTAGGAACAAAGTATATGGTCCAAAGAGTGAACCCCTGCCTGCCACTGGCATCACTTGTTAGTTGTTGCCAGAAGACATTCAGTCTGAAAAACACGATGAGGACCAATATTGTACATTCAATAACTTTGCAAAAAAAAAAAAAAAAGATAAGCTTGCCCTAACATTTAAGATAAGGTAATACTTCAGCGATGTGTGTTAGTGTGTTTAGGAAATGTTCAGACCAATCGGGGACCACGAAACAAACGCCAAAGTACCCCTTTAAAGGCCACTCCGCTTCTAGATTGTTTTTGAAAAAACAATGCATTCTTCTTTAGTATCACCTGGGAAGACCACACGTCAAATATTACAACCTAGTTCTGTCTAAATGTTTCTTAAACGGTTTGGCAAACTTTGCAACGTGCCAAGTTGCCGAAATCGGCTGACTCTAGCAAACGAATTGAGGTGCAACCAACAGCAGAGTCAAGGTTACAGCATTGACATAGCCAACATTAAGCTAAACGTCATCCCCATTGCCCCTTTTTGTTTGTTTTTACTTCTCCGAGTCATACAGTTATAATGTACACTAGAGGTTCAACTGGCGGTAGTGTCTGTGCGACTTCCGAGAGGCAAATTGAAGCAGACAGCAACCAGTCTACTTTTGCGGCGCTCCTGCCGGTGCATTCCTATGGGAAAACACGCATGGATTTTCTTCTTTGCCGGAAAATAAGATGGAATACTTTCGTTATTTGGGTCGTACCGAATAGTATGCACCTTTCTTAGCATTGTTAAAGTGTAATTGCTTTAGTTAGCACATATGATTTTTCGTCTTAAGTGAACTATGTTTAACTTTGCTATATTTAAGGACCAAACCTCTGTTCCACAGCAGGTGTGTTAAAACAAGCGCAAGCGACGATTCTAAGCAAAATAACTATTGAAAAGAGTATAGTGTGTATTCAAGGTTTGCCAGCATTCTGGTGACGCTTATATACTGCTAATATGCCAGTCCTGTCACTATACGAAAATGACCCTGTCTTGCATCTTTATGAGCAGTTAGAAACATTGAAACACAAAACACTAAAGTATGTGGGCTATGAAAGGTGTCTCTTTTTATTATTTTCTGTGCAGGGCAGTTTTTATCAGGCACTTGTTCTCAAAGAGTTCAAGCGCGTGGGCGATGTTTTGAACGTAGGACAAACATCTTCGCACAAAGCAGAAAGAATAAATCAGTAGTTATTGAAAGTCGGACAATACAAGTGACCTTAAATTTATTCTGATCATACATCCACAGAAAGTTACTGATTCAGTGCTACTATGTAGTTCTTGCTGTCTCTCTTAGTTTTCCAGATGTCGTTTGTTCGTTTGGTATGTATATTCATCATGCTGAAAGGCGCCGATGTCATAGTCGTGCTAACAGTGTCGGACAGTGCACATAAATACATGTACGAAGCCATTTTAGCATTGTTTTTCATACAATGAATTGGAAAGAAAAATGCCGTAACTGACCAATTATTTTGTCTACCTGACTGAGAAATGTTCCAAGCTACCTAGTACAAAGACAAACAACAGAAAGAATAACACACTTAGGACAAAGAGACAACGGACACTTCTTCTTCCACTGTCATTCTGAAATTCTTCAGTCTCCATTTTCTCTTTGTCCTAAGTGTTATTCTTTCTGTAGTCTTTGTCCAAAAACCAAAACGCTCCCGCTTTTATTACCTAGTACGTACAAATTATTTGGGATATTTGCTCCTTTAATCAAGCGCACGGAGAAAATGCCCTCCCCTTTCGCCATAAAAGAGCGTTACCGGAAGTCAGTTTTCGACTGGTTCCTGTCTGCTTCAATTTGTCACGGCACACTAGTGCCATCTAACCTCTAGCATACTTTATAGTAACTCTATGTTTTGGGGGCAAGCGTAACGGGTGACGTCAGCAATGTTTCCTTTCGGCACTCAGCTGTGTCCAAGTGACTGGCGTAATGCACCTGCGCAGCGCGCTTCTTGGGAGAGCCGTCCAGCCGTTACCGCCATCTCCCAGGTCACACACAACCGCCATCGTCGTCTCACCGTTAGTGATTATTGTCTCTCAAAATTTCGTTCAGACCACATGCACAGACTGATGCCAAAATTGTGTAGACGTCGTCGAATGTCGTAGACACCAAAAAGTGGTGAAAAGTATGGAGCATACGACAGTTGCGCCTGGCACACGCCCGCCCCAGTGACTCTAGTCCGCCCCAATGGGGCCCACCTGCCCTACCCGATCCTGCCTGTCGTTGCGTAGAAGATCATAACATACATCCCGTACTAAGCGATAGCCATGTTTTTGGCGTCCCGAGTCCAATGTCACCAAACGAAGCCGAGGTTTCGGTTTTGATTTCTGCTCATGTTTAATGTAAGATTGAACAATATATAACCCATTTTTTGCAAAGCAAATGACGTAGTGCTGCTTATTAGTGCTTTTTATTATAAAATCACTCATTATCCAAAAATTTTCGGAATGGAGCGGAGTTGCCCCTTAAAGGGGTACTCCGTCGATTTTTTGAGCTACCTCAACTAACTATATTTTCTGACTCCCCGGCCTTTACTCTCTCCGGTATGCTATTTAGAATCGCGAAATTCATAATAGTTATTGCGAAATCGGCAAATGAAAATGATGCAAAAACCAACATTCAAATATACGCGCGCTTTTCAGGGCCGTGACGTCAGTGGCAGGCAGGCTTGCCAGTCGAGCAAGCAGCCAAAAAATAGAATATGCCAATCATTTGTTCCGTGCTGGAGCGCGGGTACTGCAGCGAGCTTCCCAAGCATTCATTTGACACCATGAAACTGCTTCGAATCAGTTTAAAACAAAATCTACAGCCCAAAGAGTGAACCCCTGCCTTCCACTGACGTCACTTTTTCATTGTTGCCAATAGAGACTTCGAGCTTGAAAAACACGGTGAGGACCAAAACTGTAAATTCAATAACTTCGCGAAAAAACAATATTTTGACCTAATATTTGGGATACTATTTTTGCGATGTTTGTTGGTTAGTTTAGCAAAATTTCAAGCAAATCGGAGACAATGAAA